AGAAGAAGAAGAAGAAGAAGTCTTCCGGTCGAACGTCGTCCGAGGGCGAATTTAGATGTCGAGATTGCCCGGCGACGCTCCCGGCCGGCCCGCGCCCCCGTCCTCGTCGTCGTCGCAGGCTGGGACATCCTTATTAAGGCGGTTGTACCACGTGGAAAATTTGCCGACGCGAGTCGGCAAAAATGGGCTGCGTGTTGTCATGTCCCCCATTGTCCCCGGTGCCGCAGATCACTGCGGTCCGATGTCGCCCGATGGGGTGCTCTGTTGCTGCTACCGTTGCTGCTGCTGCTGTTGCTCGTCGGCGAGGTTGCGCGCCACGCTCCCGTCGTTCCTTGTTCTATCGCGTCGGATCCTCGGGATGGCGCGTCGCCGAAAGGATCGACGCGATTCCCGTTGAATGCATCCGAATGCTCATGCGAAAGGAGGAAGAAGGGGAAGGTTCAACCGCCGGCTTGCGTAATAAGTTAATTTCGGATTTTCAGATAACACGACACGATTATATTCTTATGTCGTTATAGTTTTATGAAAAAATTTAATTCATTTTGATCTGTGATCTTGCATTATTCTTTGCATGTACGAAGCAGTAAAAATTGCAGCGAAATTTTTGTAATCTCAGATCAGAAATTTATATCGTCGAAATTATTATACAGTTTTAGTTAAAAATATTATATACTTTTGACTTATACTATTAAATTATTGTCATTACTCTTGAATATTTTTTTTTATATCGTGTATCAGGTATAAATCGTCAAATTTACAATTTTTATAGCAATTTCAGCAAAAGTCAGTTTTACAGAAAATGTAGAGAGAAAATTTTAACGTAGGATAACTGTTCATGTATTACTGCCCCCGCTTCTGTTAGCGTGCCTTTGTATATTTAAATATTAAAATAAGTATAAAATATTTTTATGGCTTATTTAAATGGAAAAAGTAATTTTTACTTTAGTTTAATACCTTAATTAAAAAACATTTTTTCCTATTTATGTGTGCTATTTTCCTTTTTATGGCTTATTTAAATAAAAAGGCATACGCTAATAGAAATAGGCACAGTAATATAGACAATTATCTTCATTTTTATTGCAACATATTCTCCGCATACTCTCTCGTAAAATTATGGCACAGAAATATAATCGTTTCATTTTACCCGAAATATCTGAAATCACTTATTACACAACCTAATAAACAGTATCTCCAGTGTTGCAAAAACTGTCAAATGTTACTGTCCCTCCCGTGATAGTTCAAATATTCGCATTAACATCCGTGATCGGGTCACACCCGCCATATTCTCTTACTCTGAAGGGTAGCGCCAACGATGAATTACCGTTGCGTTATCAACGCGCGACGAAAAATACGACGATCTGAAAATGCCGATTTGTTTTTTTGTAAAGCTGTCGGTGAATTGTGGATTTCGGGAAAATAGACGCGCGACGAGAGAGCGCGACGCGCGTTTTCGAAAATAATGTCTCCTTTCTGCCGAGCGCTGCCGGCAGTTTATGAAATGCACGTAGGACAGACATATCCGTTCCGATGCGAGCGCCGATAAGCTATCGGCATTATGCAGCCGCTTATAAAAACTCGATTGTCGTCGAGCAGGATTAATCTCGATCGGCTCCCTCTCTCTCTCTCTCTCTCTCTCTCTCTCTCTCTCTCTCTCTTTTTTTTTTACCCCGACCGGTATATCGAAATGTTTTCTCTGCGAGAAATAATGCTGATTTATAGCCCGCGTTAATTCGAGATCGCGTAGCGATATCGCGCCGGGCCGAAGTATAAAAAATGTATTTTTGGAAAGCGTCCAATGCAGCACGAATTCGAGAGAGTGAGAGAGAAAGAGGGCTTATCTGATTCGCGCCAGCTACGAGCTGGATACATTCAGCTCCGATTTCTCCAAGGGCCGTTATTAAATTTTTAATGGCTTCTCTATAATCTCCCCTCTCCCTCTCACCTCCTCTCTCTCGCTCGCTCGCTCGCTCCTCTTTAACGCGCTGAAAAGCGAGAGACAACGCACGATGAAATATTCCGCGATAATCGCGAGAGCGCTTTTCGCGCGATCGCTCACGCGCGTTCTGCCGCTCGTTTATTTATTTAATATTTGTCGTATACTCTGGATTAAAATTATTTCAATCTCTCGCCGGCGAGCGGGCTCGTCGATAATCTATTTCGGGTTGATGAATCTCCGGACCGCGTCAGCGATGGCGATCGCGTTTGCTCGCGTCCGATGATGATGATGAGGAGGAGAAGGAGGGTTGGGAGAGGTCAAATTCCGACACAATTAATTACCGCGTACCAAGACGCGATAACTCATCGACGTCCTGTCAGCGATCCTTTCCGCCTCGCTCGACGTCAATTGCGCGTTAAGGGGGAGACTCCGAGCGAGACTCTCAAGGCGTCCTCTTTACCTCCCCCGCGGCATTTTTTCGAAGTTCTTAGGATAGCCTCGTTATGCACGCGTCGGCGAGCACGCGCCGCGTGTGCAGAAGGATACTCCCGTAGCAAGAAGTCGAACGTTCTCGGAAAGCGCAGCGTTCCCGCGTCGTCGGGCACGCCGCAACGAGCCCTTATTATTATTGTCGAGTTGGCGTTCGCCAAACTCCCCACGACGCGAACTTACGCGAATGCCACCGTGAAGCGGTCGATAAAAAAGAACGAAAAAGAAAAAAGAGAACAGACCGCGGAGCTGCAACGCCCGCTCGTCCGCGAGGCACGAATGAACGCACGTGATGGAAAACGCAAAAAGTGACAGTCGCACGCGCGGACCGTGGAATCCCACGTTGATCGCGAGTAAACGCACTGTAAACTCAACGTGAGCCATTAAACGCGATTCGTTGACACGGTGTTGCGCAATGCTCGTTCTTATGGACAAAAATCGGTAATTGAACTCTACTCAAGATATCGATCTAAAATTTCATATACATAAATTATATACGGAAAACAATGTCTCCCTTATAGTCACTGGCCAAAGGAGGGTATGACTTTTAGGCGATTTGGGGACCACTAGGTGAACGCAAATTTCCTATTTTTTCCTTCGTATTTTTTGCCATAGAATTAAAAAAGCGACCTTAAAATTACGCCAAGTAAAGGGAAAAATATAGTTATAGACATTTAAACGTTGATTTTCCCTGAAAATCATGCATTTTCTAACACTGCACATCTTAAATATCTTTGACCTTTTTAGAGATGCTAAATCTCACGTTACATAGGAGACTTATTTTCTCAAAACTTGATAATGATATGAGAATATACTCTAAGCAGCAGAGAAAAAGCAGCAGTCAATTAAAAAAATATTAACTATCAAAAAAGTACAAAAGTGATTTTGTAGTCCAGCTTTTTCAGGATTACACAGGGCATTAATAAACGAAAGCATATAAGGAGCCTCTTCTCGAGCATATAGTAGCTTTCGTCGCTCAAATCGCTCCGTTTAAGGCAGAACTCGGAATTAGTTGCCCATTTCGGCCGATTGACTGCTGCTTTTTCTCTGCTGCTTAGAGAATATTGTCATATCATTATCAAGTTTTGAGAAAATAAGTCTCCTATGTAACGTGAGATTTAGTACCTCTAAAAAGGTCAAAGGTATTTAAGACGGCAGTGTTGGAAAATGCATGATTTTCAGGGAAAATCAACGTTTAAATGTCTATAACTATTTTTTTCTTTACTTGGCGTAATTTTAAGGTCGATTATTGAATTCTACGAGAAAAAATAGGAAATTTGCGTTCATCTAGCAGTCCCCAAATCGTCTAGAAGTCATACCCTCCTTTCGAACAATTACAACAACGATTTATCCATGTCAAGTTTATTCTGTTTTAAACTTGCTTGAAACTGCTAACTCAGGGTAGCAATTTATGAGATATTCTGTGATTTATCTATATTATTTCAACTCGGAAAATGATGTGACTTAAAACAGTAAGGAACGTGTAAAAGGGTCTTCGGTCAAATTACACGTTTATCCGTTCAAGAGTAACGCAACTTAGATTTGCAGTGTACACACGATATCGAATATTCCACTCGTCACGCGGAGGAACTCGTTCGCATTTTACACACCTTAGCTCGCGCGCCACTTGTTTCAATCTTCTTTGCTGTGTATCGCGACCTCGATATCGCGTCTCACCGCCGTTATCGCCTTGTGCTCGCGCGAAGCGCATCGTCGTACAGATGCATCATCGTTTCATTCGCCGCGGCGCGACGCTCGGAGACGAGGTCCCGGAGAAGAGGACGAAGCCCCGAAAAATCGATTTAATCCGCGTCGATTGCGAATCGCATCGTCTCGACACGGCAAGTCCAATCGGAATCGCGGACAGCTCGCCCCGGTCGTCCCGACGTCTTCGACGAGTCCACCGACGCCGCTCGAGGACGCGGAAACGTGCTGCGGGTTGTGTTACGCTCGCGAAGAGAAATCGCTTTACTATGCGTCACGTGTCCGTTGCACGGTGAGTCTCCACGCGATGGGTAATGACGATATTAGAGTCGCGTGAGAAGTGTTCGAAATGTCTTCTTCCTTTTTATATTCGTCACGCTAAACTCTAAGTCGTTTCCTTGGAAGAATATTCGCGTGTATTCTCTCAAAAGTGATTAGTGCACCGAGAGAAATTATCTGATAAAAAATTATCAAACGAATATTTCCGAGTAAAATAGCGAAATTTTGTATCTGATCAGGAAACATCCAGTGAGAAATATCGATTCATAATTTTTTGATCGATTTTTCTGATGAAATGTCATTATGATCGGAAGTATCCGATTAAATTTAATCGAATATCCTGATTAGATATAAAAATTTATCGGAATTTGATCGGAAATATCCGCTTGTTAACCTAACCTAGGATACCGTTTCCAAGTAGGAGTTAATAAAATATTTCTTCCGTCTTTCAGTTTATGTCGACTTGTGCAAAAATAGAAACGACGCTTCGCTATTAAAAAATAATCAACAATGTATTAAGTATACCCCGGGAAATTTTGATGATCTAATTTTAAATATTTTCACTGTTTCCTCTAGTAGTGCCGAAATATTGAGCGCGAAATTCGTATGTTCGCGCGAAATTGCAATTCGCAACGGCCAACAGGCTGTCCGACTAGAACGCGCCGTATAACGCGCCTTGAACTCGGCGCGTCGATTACTTTCTTATCGGCGCTTGTTTTAATTTCAAGCCATCATAGCGTGCGTAGCGTGTTGAGATAAGCGGACGTAAAAGATTCGACGGCGTAGCGTCGCACGATGAGAGAACACCTGCGCGCAGGTCGCACAGTCGCGAGAGATCGGACAGTCGGATGAAATATATCATTCCGTTGCAGCGAAACCAAAAAAGCGGCAGAGCTCGAGGTAAGTGGGAGATTTAAGGTGTAACTTACTATCTCCCCAGGTGACTAATGCGAGCGACGCGGTTCTCGGTTATCCCACGACGACCACGTTGCAGGTAACGGAAACGCCATGTCGCTCGTACGTCGATTCGACGCCGCAAATTTCCGAATTCCGTTCCGGATAAGTCGCATCGCAACGCTGGCCGTGATAGCCGCGGTATTGTTCGCGCAATTGTTCGCGGGCTCCGTCGCCGCCGCGCGACAAGTGTCGGTGAGTACGAGTCACAGGTTTGAGAAAACGCGAGATTATTTTTTTCGCATTCACACCACATTGCAGAGAGAATAAATACACACGATATATTATCCTGTGAAATATAATTTTTTCAATGCGAACAAAGGAAGGAAACGAACGGAGAAGGCCGCGGATTAGCGCGCATAAAGTCAATGTTTATTTCGACAGCGCGAAATAATTCAACTATAATTACAATATTTAATTAATAATATTCATTAATTGTGTAATATAAATTTAATTATAACATAGCTGTCATTAATCGTTTATCAACGGAAAAGAGAAAAACTTTTAATACACGTAATAAAACGGAATGCAATGGCATGAGAAGAGGAGATACATTGAGAAAAAAATATTTATTTATATTTAAATATTTATTCATGGGAATAAACTTCATATACCACAAATAAATTTTCAAATATTTCTCTTCTGTGTAAAAAACGATGGCATAAATACATAAATATAAAAACAGACAAATAAATACATACGCAGAAAAAAGTTTGATAATTATTAATGTGAAGTTTAATGAACGAGCTAAACGCGTTTTAATCGAGAAACATAGAATTTTTGGTTCGTATGATCCTAATTTGATTCTAAGAACTAGAAATTCCGTTTTCTTCAAACAAAACGATTCGTTTCTTATAAACTTCATGAACTAAACGTGTTTTAATCGAGAAACATAGAATTTCTGCTTCATATGATCTTAATTTGATTCTAAGAACTAGAAATTCCGTTTTCTTCAAACAAAACGATTCGTTTCTTATAAACTTCATGAACTAAACGTGTTTTAATCGAGAAACATAGAATTTCTGCTTCATATGATCTTAATTTGATTCTAAGAACTAGAAATTCCGTTTTCTTCAAACAAAACGATTCGTTTCTTACAAACTTCATGAGCTAAACGCGTTTTAATCGAGAAACATAGAATTTCTGGTTCGTATGATCCTAATTTGATTCTAAGAACTAGAAATTCCGTTTTCTTCAAATAAAACGATTCGTTTCTTACAAACTTCATGTTAACATCAGAACCCTAAACATGAATAAAATTTATCAACATCAACGTTTCAAATGTTATCATTCAAAAACATGTGTTTTTTCATTATAGCTTTTTTCAACTTCATTGAATCGCAGAAACATTAATAAATTTATATTCCTCGATGTTTTCTACACCGCTTGAAAAGAAAAAGGATTGAATTTCGATCATTTTTCCGGAAGTTATAAGTAAATGAAAATGCGTTGAGAGTAAAATTACCCATATTTAGGGTTTAGGGTTATTATATATATATATATATATATATATATATATATATATATATATATATATATATAACTAAACTTGTTTTTGCGTGCATGAATAAATTAAATACATTTTGATCGTCGTTCGCACTGTGTCCCATCGCTAGAGCTCAAACGGCGGGAAGCGTCATCACAGCGGACGCTGCTCCGCCAGAAGATCAATGGGACATATCCCTCTGACGGGTATCGTCGGCAAGGAACTGGCTATCACACCGCAGGACGTTCTTTCGCGCTTAGAAACCGCCGCGATCTTACGAGATCACTTCTTGGCGGCGTTAGGCCACGTGCTGTTGCTCTGCCTCGAGGACGACGCGAGCGTTCCCTTCAAGCTCATCCACGACATGGTGCGGACTCGTCAGGTAGCTGCCTACGACCTGCTCAATGTGCTACCGATGCTGCGCGGTAAAACGCCGTTGCAGCAACTCTACAAACTCCTGCAGATGTTGGAGAGGGTTGGCAGCCGCTTCGTCTCGGAGTACGCGTCGCTCTGCATAAACGCTTTCCCGGAGGCCGGCATAGAACGAGCACTACTTGATGATATCTTGACAGACATGGACCACTCGACGCTAGAGGCGATCTCTCTGGACAAACGCCGGCCAGGCGAGATTCCGTTGTCCCTGCAAGCGGCCATGAACTTCTTGCTGCGAGCAGCTCGCAACAACAGCGAGTTGCTGAACCTGCGTACCGCATCAGCCATGTTGTTGAATTACCCATCGTTCGACTTCACGGACCCGGAAGTCCCCGGCGCCGTCAGGTTCGCGGCGTTGCAGATGAAAGAGCGGTCGCGCTCGGCGGATCCTCTGCTGGAGTACATGGAACCGAACCTGGAGAGCGCGGAGGATTTCCTGCGAGCTGTCCTCGAGCGCTTTGAGGTGGACGAGCTCTCGTCCGAAATCATGAGAGAAACAGTCTCGTTGCTGCTTCAGAATCTCGGCGTGGAACCTTTCTCGGTCGTCCCTGCTTGGAAGAATGATTCAAAAAAAATCTTGACGATGATCACGTACGATCGTTACCCACTTGACGTCGTCATCGTGGCTAAAAGCCTTGCGGATCATTTGGACGACTCATTTTTTCAGGATCTCGACATTGGCTTCTATGAGAGCGGCGAGCACGCTCTTCTGCAGGTGCTGTCGCGACTCCGTGAGAAATCGAACCTGCAGGAACTGAGGAAACCATTGTCGCTGCTGATATCCTTCGTCTCTCAGAGGCTGATGAACGAAGCTGTTCACGATTACGCGACACCAATGAGTTTCCACGAGGTGATTAATTACCTGGACTCTTTCGATACTCCGTGTCTGCAGCAAAAGGTTAAAGACGCCATGCAGACGCTGCGTTCACTCTTGACGGAGGACTTGCCTTGGACCTACGCGTTCGGAGACAGACGCGAGAGCGAGGATCCTCGGGAACTAACCTTGACTTCGCTGATTCGCCTGCGGAACGTGCCGATGAGCAAGCCGCAAGCGAACGCAATCGACGACGTTATCTACAAAAGTCGCGTCCACGCCGTGACCGGTAAACGAGGACAGATCTATGACTATGGCGTGGTCTTCCAAAGAGACGACTCGACGAACGTGGAGGTTGACTTGTTCTCGTTGCTGATGCGCATACCAGACGCCTTCAGGAGCGAGAATTTCGCGCCGATGTTGAATTTTCTGTCAAAGCCAAACTTCCTGGACCTTCTCGGTCGAGAATTCAACAAATTCGAGTACGAGACTCCCAGGAGTCTGCTTTCAGCAATGCTGAAGAGAGCACTCGCGCTCTCACCCGTCAAGTCCGACGAGTCTCTCTTCAGAATCATCAACAACGCTCGGAATTACCTCGAGGAGCCGTTGCTGGTTAACTTGTACACCACGGAAGACCTACAGCAGTTGCTGAAGAATCTACCGGGCATCGACAGCGACCCGCGATACTTACCATTGAAGATACTCTTCAAGAAGCAGAAGTTACTCGCGTATCTGTCATCGACGTTTAGCATAGCCGGTGTGAACACGCCGACGGAGATTCTGTTGCTGATTTTACGCACAGTGGCCCTGAAAGTCACGCAACCAAAGCTCGCGGAAGCTTTGAGCTTCGCGCTGGACAGCTTCGACGGACCCCCGTTACCACCTCGGCCTTTCGACCACGACGACTTCGTGTATCTGTTACGACAACTGTTGCCGCACAACAAAGCTCTGCGAAACGAGATCCTGAACTCCCCAGTGTACGCTCACATCGGCGACTGGAACGTGTCAATCAGTGGCACCCCCGAGACCGTTCTCGCCAGGGCGCTAAGTTACCCCGTGAAACAGATCGCGAACAACTCGCACCTCGCTTATGTGGTGAAGCGAGCAGAAAGTATTATGAGCGACAAAGGTGTGGTGGATGTCGACATCTTGAAGGAAAGCACCTTGAACGCGATGGTGGAGTATTTACCAAGCAGCACGTATGCGAAACCTGTGAGTCTGCTGCTGAAAAAAGCAAGCTTGATGACGCTCGTGCCGCAAGTGGATCTCGCGACTTTGGAAGCCGGCGATATGCGTGACGCATTGATCACATTGCTGAAGGCTCTGGCCGAGTCTCCTATGATACGTGCTGAGAAACTGCTGTTGAGGCGCATCAGAGCGGTGTTAAGCTCTCTGGACGGCGTGGCGGACAACTCAACGGATCATCAAACGCCGATCTTGGCATACTTGGTCCAATCGTTGCAGGATCCAAGTAGCGCGGTTTATGAGCCGCTCCTGTCGCACCTGAAGACGCAGAATGTAACGATACCACCCGAAGAGCGACAAGTTTGGTTGGAGCTTTACCTCCGGCGTATCATCGACGAGAATACCTCGGAGAACCTGAAGAAGGCCGCGACAATGGCTTTAAAAGAGATCGTGTATGACGAAAACTCGGACGAAAAGACGCGCGCCAGCAAGACGAGGATCGAAAAGGCCGTGTCGTTCTTGCCGGTCGACTTTTTCACCACACCATTGAGGAAATTACTGACGCCGGACTGGGTGTATAGTATCCTTCCAGAAGATGTGAGAAAATCCGATATTCTGGAAAATGAAGAACTGTTGCTGGCAATATTACACCATGTTAAGCAACGATCTGACATCGCTGATAATCCTGCGCTAATGAAAGTCATCTTCAAGGTCGAAATGAAGCTGAACGGATGGAGAACGAACGTCGAGTCGTTGAGAAGAACCGTCGCCGCCGTGAAGGATGCTCTTTACGATCCCGTGAAGAACCTCCTCACTGTCGCCGGCTTGAGTAAGATCAAGGTTACAGTTCCTGTCGGCAAATCGCCCAAGGCGGCGTTGTTGGAACTATTACACACTTTGTTGTCGCACACGGTGATTCAACGAAACAACAAAGTCTCCAAACTGCTGAGCGCCGTCAGGCAAGACGTAATGACCTTCGGAGTGGACGTCGACTTATTGACTGTACTCGATAAGGTTGGGATCGGGTATACGAGCGAACTCGCTCCCATCAGACGGTTCTTGCACAAGAAAAACACCAACAACAAAATCGTACGAACCGTTTTTGCAGTTGCGAATCCTGAGAAACAATACCGCGCCTTGCTGAAGGTTCTCCAACAGCAACGCGACGAGATGAACAACACGCGATTCCTCGACGCGCTTTCGACACTGAAGAATACTCCGATTACTGCAGCACCGGCTGATGTCCTACTTTCGGATCTGATAGACATAGTAAATACCATTCCGAATCATGTCAGGCAACGATACAAGTCCATCGAGTACTTGTTTAACAGTGACATCTTGTCCCGTCTCACGTACGATAACGGGATTTTAGAATCAGATAACCCGTTGAGCACTTTGCTTTTCAACGTAGCAGGTCTGCCGGAAATCCGCGATAACTATACTGTGACGAGCAAATTGAAGGCTATGTTGTCCGAAATCGAACGACTGAACATTCGCCAGACCGTCACGGGTGCTCAACTCAAACCGTTGTTGTTGGAACTTCGACACGTCCAACAGATCAACGTGGACTTTTTAAATCACGTCTTAGAGCCTGAAATGCTGAGCTATCTAAACTTGGACGATCGCTCTGTCATGACTGAGGACAACGCCGAACTACTCCGAATCATCATCGACTCTCTATTAGATCACGAAGCGATACACGTCGACGTAGACATGCGAAGACACTTATTGTCCTTTAAGAAAGCTTTGATGTTGACCATGAATGTCGATACGACGACGTCGAAGAGTCAGCTGACCGATGATGACTGGAAGATGATGCTGAGTCTTGTATCGCACAAGAAGGACTTTGCGCCTATCAAAATCTTTCTGCAGTCTGAAGAAGTCCTCAAGTATATCCCTGAGAACATGAACTGGAAGCTATATACCACTCCTGCGAAGAAACTGCTTTATCTACTGTCTCTGATAGAGAATGACGAGATTGAGAATAGGAACGTCCACCGGTCGGCGAAGAGACTACGTGAGAATCTGGAAAAGCGTTTCAACTTTGTCACTGAGGAGGACGTGAGGAGCATGCATCGCACTTTGGCGAGTCTTGATCTCAAGTACGATTTGGTCCCGCTTAAGATCTTCCTAAATCACGACAATATGATCAAGTATCTGCCGTCAAATTTCAAGTACGGCAAATACAGCACGCCGATTCACGCTCTCGTCGTGGTGTTGGACAACTTGCTGCAGGTGCCCAGTTTGAAACGGAGAGTACTTCTTTACAAGACTATGACGTTCACGAGGCAGTCTTTGATTGAACAGACTCAATCAAGGCGATCATTGAGCTCCAACAACGAGACTATCGATCGCTTGTCCACTGAAGATCTCAGCTTCGTCAGCCTGTTTAACACGTCATCGCCAATGTTACGCGAGTTCTTGGATCCGCGGACACTATTGAGTCTCTTGCCGGAATCCTTTAACTTTCATGGCCGACCAACGTTTAAGACGAAGGCGTTGTACTTGCTACGTCAGTTGCTGAGAACGAACACCGATTTGCAAGTGGAATTAGAGGCACTTCTTCGAGAAGTACTGGAGTATCCGGACGTGCCGATCATCACAAAAGATGACCTCGAGCCAATCTTGAAAATAATTCCCACCCAAGGCATACCTCACATAGAACTGGTGAAAAAATATCTGAAACCATCTGTGCTGGTAAAGCTGTTACCTGGAACTTTCGATCCGAAAAGAGCGATTAATGTCAGAACAAATTTGCACGATATCCTGCTGCTGCTGGACGTCACTCTCGGCTCCAAGAAGACCGAAAAGGCCAAGATAGCTATTCACGCGCTCATCGACGAACTGAAGAAGATAATTCCCACTGTGATACTGGAAGAAGCGGCGATCGATGCCAACGACGTGAGATCAATTATCCTGGAGATCCCGTTCAAGCGGTACAAGCGGATCGAACAGATGGAAGCTCAGATGACGACCAAGAAGGTCATCGCAGCCTTACCGGCGAATTTCGAACTGACCAAGTACAAAACGAAGAAACTGCGACTACTGGCGATCTTGGACGAGTTGTCCAAGAGCGAGAGTTTCCGCTCATCTGCAGACTCCATTAATTTTATGCGCAGGATCGTCCGCAAGATGCCGGATATGCCGAAGATGAACGACACGGAAATCGAGAAGATGCTGCTGCAGTTGCCGTTGCGCTCCTTCTATGTGAAGCACTTGGTGACGAATTGCCGGTTGAACACGTTAGTGGGCTACCTACCCATTAGTTTCGACCTCAACATTCTGGAGACGCGGAAGACGAAGATCGCCAAGATTCTTCACTACTGCAAACTAGCGAATCCCGTGGATATCAGCACGAAGCAGGCGTTGACCAACGCCGAAGCGCTCTTGAACAAAATGCCCGATTTCGACGTGACTCAGGAACACGTGCGGGCTCTGATAAGGACAATACCGTGCACCCACTTCACCTCGATCAAACCACTGCTGCGGTATCTGTCTAAGGTGGACGTCACATCGCTCCTCAGCTGGGACTTGGACGTGTACAAGGTAACGACCTTTAAAGAACGCGTGCTCGACTTGCTGACCGCGTTGAAGAATACGCATGAGCTGCAGAACGACAAGATGTTCTCTGCACTCGACGCGCTGCAGACGAACGTATGGTCCATGCCAGACAAGGTGAACGTCTCCGTGGATTACGTGAACAAGCTGAAGGCGGCGGAAGGGATCGTCACGGACGCGTGCAAGGATTACCGCGAGCTTGTGATGACTACCCAGAATCTGGAGAAGATACTACCGCCGAATTACAGCTTCTCGCCGGAGCGCACGGTGCAGCACGAGTGGTCGTTGATCGTCTATTTCTCGAAACTATTCCTAAGAGAGGTGAGGCTCAGCGGCCCGGTGAAGAACGCGTTCGAGGCCACGGTAAACCTCCTCCGCGATCAGGGGAGAACTCATCTGCTGAACGGCATACGGGAGGGTCTGCAGCAGGAACCTTTCAAACAGCTGATTCCGATGAGACTGTACACCCTGGGCCACGAGAATAACTTGACCGGACCCATCGAGGACGTGTACCGCGGCTATTTCCACGGATCCTTGTCGAGGATCATGCGAGTGGCGTTGAAGGAGTTCATCCGTCGACCGGATATCATCAAGAGCAAATCGTTGATGAACGATCTGGAGGTGTTCCTGCACGACTACGTCATCCTCCATCTGCGGGATTACCCGTCCAACTACGAGATGCGCCAAGCGATCGACGAAATTCCGAGCGAACAGAAGTACGATGATCTGAGACTCCTTATGCAATGTCAAGACATGCAGGAGTCGATTGCACAGCAGTTTGTGCCGGAAGACGGCACGTCGAAGCAGTTGCTCTTTAGTATGCTGGAACTGGCGGCTAACAGCCCTGTCGATCTAGCAATCAGAGAGGCCATTGCGTCGCTCAAGCCGATTATCCAGCGCGACATTCGCCAGGAGGAGGCAGAGTTGGTGCTGAAACAAATGCGCGACTACAGATATCACATGGGCAAAGTGGAAGCCATCAGATCGCACATCGTGAACGAGGGCTTGCAGGCGATTCTGGTTGATTATCGTGTCAAGTATCCCACCTTCAGAGAGAGACTGGTCGCGCTCAGCGATACCTTGCAGACGACACTCTCGGCGAATGTCACGAACGAGTTGCGCGAAGCATCGGACTACCTGAAGAGAGTCCTGAACAACGAGCTGAAGATCGAGCACGTAATCCCGCGGACAATAGACGACATCAACGTGCAGACGCTGTTCTTCGCACTGCCAAAGACTCGCGACGAGAGGATCATCCGCGGTATCATCAGATTTTTCTCCATTCCTAACTTACTACGCGAACTCAAGCTGCCCAAGAATCCCTTTGAATACGTGACTAAGGGTCAACTCCTGCAGGCTCTCATGGACTTGGGTCAAGGACTGCGAACGGTGCAGGAGGACCTGTTGCAACAAGAGGCTTTGGAGTATTTTAGGGATAAGATCCTGAAGACCGGTCCGGGTGCACAGCCGATTGAACTGAAGAAATACGCAGCTAACTCGAACATGCACGTGGACATGTACGGTGTGATGAGAGCTATCGATTACGACAAGATGGACGAAGCCGGCGCGGTGAAGGTGGCGATGTTCTTCGAGAACAAGTACAACAATCTTGTGCACGCCGTTGGCTTTGATCATTTGGCCTACGCGACTAGGGGGTCGTATCTGAAGGCGTTGTTCGAGCATCTCGTCAACGTCTCTCAGATATCCGACGACGTGAAGCAGCAAATGAGCATGTTGATACCGCTAGTGAAGCTAGACGGTCCAGGGGATGAATCCGTCGACCTGAACGACGACATAGCGCCGGCTACAAGGATAATTGGGGAGTTTCCGGAGCCCTTGGACTCCATGCACGGTATTGAATCGCGGTTCTTCGGATTGAGTGAGGACACAACGAAATTGCCGTATTCTATCTTGAAGAAGAAAGAATCCTTGGAGACTGCCGTTCACGACATGCTCGAGAACATCGCGTCGTCCGAGGAAGATGGCAAGAGTGGCGATTCGGCGATCTCTTATCACGAAAAGACCCATGCCGCCGTTTCTGAGCGATCTCGCAACGTCACTCATGAAATCACTCGACAGAAGTCGTCGAGCTCGTCCAAGCGGACGAGCAAGCATCGCACGCAACAGCAAGTGCGGAACACGATGGAGGACTCTGATTCGTCTTTCGAGAAAACGAAGGAGAACAAAGGGAGGCCGAAGATGGCGGGCCATGGCTCGACGAAAGTGCCGGCGGAGAATCGTGCAGACGTAGAAGTAGATGAGAAAAATGATCAATCGACGGAAGAATCGTCGTCGAGCGACAACGTTTCTTCCGGCAAATACCGGCTCGAGTACGTAGCGTCAAGTGGAGACGAACGTTCCAGGGCGAAGAGTGATTCTTCCAGCCGAGAAACGAGATCCAGCGGGCTCAGTTACGTCAACGTCGAGATCGACGACTCAAATATGTCGGACAGGCGAATAGTTAAGCCTCTTCCGGTGGCGTCGCGGGAACTGCCGACAGAGAAGACGCCTCGGAAGTCGTACGCACTCCATCGAGAGAGTCGTAAGTCGATTAACCGCAGACTCTTCATTCGGCCAGACAGCAGCACCGATATCGAATTCGAGGATAATTCCGATCACGACAACGTAACTGAAAACGCGGCGCCGGATCTGAGGATGTTCCGCGACACGTTGCGGAAGAACGAAGAAAACCTGTCTCTCACGAAGGAGCTGATAGACGAGAAAGCGAAGAAGAATTCAACGAGGAAGGCGGGAATCGTGAAGAAGGACCTCGGCAGAAAGCGGAAAAACCTAAACGAAGAAACGTGAGAGGCGACGAAAAAAGAGAGGTTCGACGCAAACTTAAGTCGTTTGGTAAATTTATTTAAATGCATTTATCGAATATTTGTCAGATATCGAGAGAAAGAGATGTCGCCGTCGGGAAGCCTGAGAGAAAACGCGACGATGTCATGTCGCTTGATCGTCGAGTCGACGAGAGCGAGAAATCATCTTATCGATTATAATTGAGAACAGATGCAATGAGACGAGAGAATATTTTTAGGTAGACTAGTTAAATAGACGAGTTAAATAAAAATTCTTAAAAGGCAAAATATATATTTATGAAAAAAAGATATATATGTGATATCTGTATGTCGATATCAAAAGTACTCAGATAGATTTTCATGATAATCATCACGACGTGAAATAATCGATGATCGAAACAATTTTCTTTATCAAATTTATAAAGCAAGTATATTGATTATGACAATTGACTTAGGTGTCTAACAAACTGAGTTTAGTTGTCATAACCAAACATTCTGGTTGCTTTAGCTGAAATGTGATTAACTATTCGTGAATTGACTTTTTTTATGTGCACTCATGAGAAACGCTACCTTTACAAGTCGATTAGTAAAGTTGTTGCCAAATTTATGTACACCTGCCTATCTGGGTAATTTTAACGAGGCAGTAATAAGAGCGACGGGCGTTCCGCGGAGAGTCGTCGGTTGTTAATGTAATTTACGTGAGTTTTCCCTCCGGCTCTCACCGGACTAACCAGGCACTCGTCTAACCGAACGTCAGCAAATCTCAAACGGCGAGATCCTTTCCGGTTTTCAAGCTCCGCTCCACTTTCGGGTAACGGCCGAACGAACGGTCGACCGCGAAAACACCAATCATCGTGGCTCGAAGATCCCGGTTGCTCGGCATAAAATCTAATAATCAGTTGTCGCTCGACCATTCTTCACTAGTAAAAACCAAGAAAACTAAGAAAAGAATTCGCCAAATAAGCTCTTGCACGATTAAGACAAGAAAAGACAGAAAAGAAAGAGAGAGAGAGAAGGATCACGCACCGAAAAAATGTTTAACATTTCTTACTATATATGACTACTGACTAATCACGTAGCAAAGGAATCATAATCGGAACAATTTTTTGGAGTATATTTTTTGTAGTATTATAGTATTAACGATATCCAGACAGCGTTTAAGATATATCAAAAAGAAGCATTCCAAAGACGTAAATAAAACAAAGTAGAATATAACTTTAAGATATTTCTAAGGCGTTTAGACATTGATGCTGTATATTTACGCTGTATATAATAATCTTATATGTGTATCGCTGTTATCACTTTTTTTTGTCAGAGCAAAAAGAAGAGAATTACTATGATCTTAGTGACTTTAGAACCACCTTTTTCTCTCAATGCGCTCTCGCGAAGAATTCGGAACTCCCGGCCGGAATATCGGGATTGACACGCGTATTAACGCGTACATATCCCACGTTCATACCGTCTGTCGCAAGAGAAAGCGAGAGAGACAGAGAGAGAGAGATAGAGGGTGAGGAGGGCGG